GGTACAAATAATTCAGTGTCCAGCCTACGTAAAGATAACAATTTTTTTTGCTTCTACTTCTGTAATTTTTCTACAAACTTGAACACGTATACTGCTGTTACTTGTTAAAGGTTTACCCTACAAAAGACGTTAACTAACGTAAAATAAATCAACTTACTAATACAATGTGACCGTGATATCGAATACACTGACTGGTTTACTCTCTATCCTGACAACTTCACAGCTATTTATAAACTAGCTTTAACTATGCTAGAGCACTACCTCACACCCTTAGTGTTTTCTAGATGTTCTAGGCATATTTGGTTAAACCTTGTGATCTTAACGTCATCATTAACACCTGTAGCCCTCTTTAACTAACATTTAGATTAAAACATTAAAAATATAGCTTACAACAATATTATTATCCATCAACTGTCACTTGAATATTCGTGGGTTTATTTAATTGAATGACGTAGACTGAGTTAACTATTCTGTATCAAGCGTACCTATGCTATGCATTTTAATTATTTTTCCTCGGCCTAAATTGCTATGAATGAGATCCAGAGCATCCCATGACTAGGATAAGGAAGCAAGGATTTAATCAACGTCTCTAAAAGATAAACGAAATCGTAAATAGATATAATAGATTAGGTGTAACTCTTGCACACTACAGTGTATGGACATGCTTACCTGAACATCATATCTCGTATAACATATTGAAATAAATGTGAAAATACGTTTTGATTTACTGTTGTAAAGGTTATATATATATATATGTATGTATTACATATAGTGAAAGTTTCAAGAACTGTTCAACCAGTTTATTTGTCTTATCTCTAAATGTCAAGAATATAATAAATTAACAGAACGGATTAGACAATTTAAACAAAACACACAAAACACTGATTACTGGTGTTTTATATTTTTGTCACACCTCCCATGATTTACTTCTTCAGAGAATATTACATCTCTTAATGGTTTAGATCTCTTTTGTAAGAGTCTACAAAAACTTACAAATAATGAAACGTCCTGTGCAGTGTCTGGTGTATAACTACCGACAAAATTACTGTTTAAATTATAAACAAACAGAAAACGCTTAGTGTAGACAGTATTGTTACGACAGCGGAGGTCACGTGACACTAGTAACACGTCATGCGCTTCTAGAACGTTCATGTCCCTTCCTGAAGTGTCGAGAGATTACTAGATATGCGGTATTCTTGTATATATATATTCTTGTATGTATAAATTAACTAACGACCAGAGACGTAACAGTATTGTTACGTCTCCGTTCGTTCATTAATTAATTTTCCGTAAATTCGTTCCAACGAAACTTTAGCGACACAAGTCCTTTCTTAAATAAAACTGGTTTATTCTTTCCGAATACAACTTTACCGATACACTTAATTTCAACAGTCGCTCTATAACAAACGCTAGAACGTCTCACATGCTCGTGCTCGACAATACTCAGTTCAATTACACACTCTCTGACTGCAGTTCAATTACTCCTTATTCCGTCACGTTGTGACCATCTTATATATACCAGACTACCCCCAATCTAGTAGTCTCCCAATAATTCACGAAGGTTCGAGAAGGACGTGGCGTGACACTAGTCACGTGACCTCGCTGACGCAACAGTATGTTAGAAATCGTACAGTTACTTCAATACTTTCTTAGAAAAAGGAAGAAAGAAATTAACATCCAATTATGTGTTGAAGATATTTATGTCCACACATACAAACATGGATTCGCATATACTCCACATATAAATATAAACAGACAATCACTCACAGTACATATCTGTGTCTATAACCTTTTGATGATGAGAAACAGCATATTCCGCGAAATATCAGTTGTTTTTTTTTCTTCTTCTTAAATTACGCTATCTTATTTAGAAGTTTATCGATGACAACATAACCCTAGCTACTGGCAAATATTATTCATCTGAAAGGCAAGAAGAATATGTACTTGGCGGCTGGTGTAAGAATTACAGCTATTTCCGTTGTGTGAGCTCTCGTAACTTCATCATTTTACTGAAGAAAACCTCTTTTATTAAATATCGCTGCGTGACTGTATACAGTATTAACTGAAGACACCCCTGTTGTCGTAAATTTAGGCAACTATATAGTATTTTTCTATATTCAAACTGCATTTTTAATTTTAGCGTTATCAACTATCGTCATGAAGTTAACATGATTAAGGAGTATCACCCTCTCAATTATTATTAGAAAAACTTAATGTTTTACGAAGACATAAATGAGGAGAACTGTGAAATTTCTTGTTTGAAAATAAAAATGCAAACTTCATATATAAATTAAGATATTGTAATAAAATATTGATATTGTTTTTACAATATAACCCAAATATTCGCACGCAAATTGCAACAGTAATCAATACTTAAATAAAGCATAAAATAAACGCCAGTCAGCTACTATTGAAGAGGAAATAAAGCATGCATGCCTTGATTCCCAGCATTGCAACTTAGGTCACTAAATAAAAACTTTGTCTTATACATTTAATTGATGCTGTTCAACATACTTCTGTTCACTAATTGGCTTAATGCTGTTTAACATGCTTGTGTTTACTTAATTGTCTTGATGCTGTTTAACATACTTCTGTTTACTTAATTGTCTTGATGCTGTTTAACATACTTCTGTTTACTTAATTGTCTTGATGCTGTTTAACATACTTCTGTTTACTTAATTGTCTTGATGCTGTTTAACATACTTCTGTTCACTTAATTGGCTTAATGCTGTTTATTATGCTTGTGTTTATTTAATTGGCTTGATGCTGTTTAACATACTTCTGTTTACTTAATTTTAAATATATTTCCTCAAACTCCTGCTGTTATTAGTTTTAACCATTTATTTTCTTTGGTAAAGTTGTTTCATATTTATGTTATTTTAATATTAACAATAGTTTCTCTGAGAGAGCCGGAATAATCCCTACAAAGTGTGTTGAACATGTAGGAATAATTCTTACAAAGTGTGTAGAGTGTTGAGGAAGAATTCTTACAAGGAGTGCAGAGTGATTAATTACCAGGAAGGAATAATCCCTACAAAGTGTGTTGAACATGTAGGAATAATTCTTACAAAGTGTGTACAGTGTTGAACAAGAATAAATTATTATTACAAGGAGTGCAGAGTGTTTAATTAGCCGGAAGGAATAATTCTTACAAATACCTTTAGTTCCCTTTTCTGTAAACCATTTTCAAAAGAACAATTTAAACGTATTTTAAGAAAAGAATAAAATGTTATTTTCAGTAAACATAAACACCTAAACGGATCAGGTGAAACTGTTTTGCGGGAGACAAGTATCTTTTTCATCACGATTAAATACACGATAACGGATAAATTTCAAATTCTCATATTGGTATCGTATAATGATCTTAACATAACTTCACATATATGGTTTTTCTGTGAGCTCGGCTTTAAAAGTGTGTGTTAGTTTTATATTGTTACGACAGCGGGGGGTCACGTGACTCTAGTAACACGTCATATTCTCGAACGTTCACGTCCCTTCCTGAAGCCTCGAGAGGTTACTAGATATGCGGTATTCTTGTATATATATAAGACCTGTAAGAAGTGACGGCAACAAGGTAATTGAACTGCAGACAGAGAGAGACTGACAATTGAGTCGAGTACGTGAGTCGTTCGTTGTGAATTATAGCGTGACTGTGGAAATTAAGTGTATTGCAAAGTTGTATTCAGAAAAAATAAACCAGTCTTATTTAAGAAAGGACTTGTATCGCTAAAGTTTCTTCGGAAAGAATTTTTACGGAAAATTAACTAACGAACGGAGACGTAACAATATTTATTAAAATGTGAGGGTACGACTTGCCAGTGCTTAACCTTTCATATACGTAGAACTGAAAAAACGACAATGGTTTTACATGATGAAACAATGCAAGTTAAATGTCAAGATTTGGTAACAAATTATTATCGACAAAAATGCTCTAGTTTTCATCCAGAATCTTATTAAGTGAGTGATTTTTATTAAATTATTTATAAAATTAAATAAAAATCGTCATTTTAATTACTTCGTTAGGTTAGTTCATACAAACTAAAAAAAAAAAAAGAAAGATAATACTTGGCTGACCTTTAGTTTGTTTGTAATTAAGAATAAAACTACATAATGGGCTATCTGTGCTGTGTCCACCACTAGTACCAGAATCCGGCTTTTAAAGTTTTATGTCCGCAGACTTGCCGCTGTGTCACTATGGTGGCTTGATGTTTAGTATAATCACGTTTATAATGTTTTAATAAATTAGTAAACAGATGGCGCTAAACACGTTACGAGTTGAATATCACATTCATCTATTATAAATACTTAGTAGTTTCATTATTTCTCTTGACCAGAATAAACATTTAGAACTTTCAAATAGTATTTAATGACATGCTCAAATATTTCTTAGCAATATTCTGATAGGATGAGAAATATATATTTTTTCAATTTGGGAATGAACTTGTAAATACAGTTTTAATTTTTATTCTGTATAGCAGTGCTTTACAAAATTGTAAAACGCTTTATCACAAAAACGAGTCTATGCTTATCTATAATTATTCAGTGATAAACTTATTGCCTTCCCCCCGAGGTATTGTATTAGGGTCCGTATGTATGTATGTCCGCGCGCTTATCTCCAAAAATATTATGTTGATTTACGTGACATTTTTAGAGGAGATAAGGTGTCCCCGTAGGACGGTCCTCCCTAAATCTGGTACGGATCTGGATCACTTTGGAACATTTTTATAATGGAGATATACGACATTTTTTTAGTTTTTAATAATAACTCTGTAAACAGTGATCTGTTTAGGACCGAATTTCAGGCGTACATTAAAACCATACATTTGCGGAGGGGCGAGGGTATGCATTCTGTCCGATTGCTCTTGTTTATATACTGTGTCATTTTTATGAATTATTTTAGAATGTCATGTATTGATAATACGTAATCACTGTAAGTACGTATTACAAAATATTCTGAAAATACATGTTTTATATAAAAGAAATAGCACCAAACACTTTCATTCTAAGTCAAGAATAGTTTATTTTGTTTTAAATGTTGTAAAATACTGGAGAAAACAATGCTGCACAAAAGAAGGGCCATTAGTCTCACTTGGTACAATTTTTTTGTTTACAGTGACGAAAGCTATCTTCTGGCGGAAGATAATGATACTGTTGTTCAGTGCATATTACACATCGACTTCGATAATTGACAAAAAGACTAGAATATAATACAAACTGAATTATTTTATAGTACAGATTCTTTTGTCGTTTTAATTTTAAATTAAGCTCATTTTAGACAGTTCGGTGTAGAAATGCGATGATTTGTTGACTAGCAGAAACAATGAAATATATGGATGTTTAAGATCTTTATATATTGACGTTTTTTCTCTTTTTTGTCAATCTCACTTTTTGTTACGTAATCCATAAACAAGTAAACACAAAAACATAAATTGCTGTTTTACAGAAGTGCTGATCACAGTCTTGAGCAAAGAACACGTAAAATACTATAATGTCAAATGCTTATATATACAAAAAAAGAGACGAATATACTCCAAGGTTAGGTCCAAATTTCATACAAGAAAACCCGGACCAGCGGCTGTTGCGTAACAGTTTATATTATCCCTCACCTTTTATACAGTAGAATCATTCATACACAGATACAAGCATACATTCATACACAGATACAAGCATACATTCATACACAGATACAAGCATACATTCATACACAGATACAAGCATACATTCATACACAGATACAAGCATACATTCATACACAGATACATTCATACACAGATACAAGCATACAATCACACACAGATACAAGCATACATTCATACACAGATACAAGCATACATTCATACACAGATACAAGCATACATTCATACACAGATACAAGCATACATTCATACACAGATACAAGCATACATTCATACACAGATACAAGCATACATTCATACACAGATACATTCATACACAGATACATTCATACACAGATACAAGCATACATTCATACACAGATACAAGCATACATTCATACACAGATACAAGCATACAATCATACACAGATACAAGCATACACATTTTTTGTAATTGTGCGTTTATAAAAATATCAACAATGTAAACTTGACGAGCGGTATAGTTTCTTCTTATTCAGCATGTAATTTTCGCTTAAAACAAGCGGCGAGTTTCGGCCTATACTCTTAAGTAGTCTAGCTGGTATAAGATGCCGCAGACTTAGCCAACTACTACAGTCCTGTTTAAGAGTTAATACGACTTCAAAGGTCGCAACGGTATCAGGATCACATTTCACTTTGCCAATTCGACGACACAGGTGCTTTTCTTCAAGATTCACGTACACTGCGCATCCTCGGATTCCACAAGGTTCTTTCTCAGACATCAGTAATATATCCCGCACAATGCGAAATATGAGATTCGATGGAATGAGGACTTCAGCACATTGCAATTGTTTATCTTTAGCTTCCTTTAAGCAGGACTCTAGTTTTTGTGACAAGAGTCGACATTTGTCCGGTTCAAGGACATCGTCTATTAGCTCGGGCAGAAAGTCATCTGAAAATAAAATATTATATTATAAGACTACAATAAACTGTATTTCATAACATACATTTAAAACACGTATATCTGAAACATGTTTATCAAAGTTCAGTTAAAATTTGTACACAGCATTGGGTCCATTTTCCTTACCCAAGATTATACTGTGATTCACACTATAATCGCAAAACATCTGTTTCAAGTACAACTTGAGTAACAACAAGAAAATAAACTAATCAACAGATCTGTAAAAACAGTCATTAACGAACTGATATTTAGTTAGCTTTCACCATCCTTGTGTTTACCTTAACCAGTATTAGCTGTGTCAACATACCTTTTGAATCTACCCAGGACAGTGGAGTGTCACCAACAGTCGGACTTTTAAACGCTGGATTCCCAAGAAGGTTATGGATTGTCATATTGACTTGCTGGTGAACCATATCGTTGGAATCACAAATGGCTTGGACCGGAGCTACGATCAGTTGTGGAGTTTTCCTGTACGTTGCTAGACTGTTTGCTATAAGATCGTACATTCGTGGTTTGTAGTAAAACGTAGAAACTTCTAGCACTTCTCTATTGTACTTAAGTCGTTTATCGACCACAGTCGACTGACACCGACGCTCCTACAACAGCTGATTTTAAACCATCGATAACTATTGCTATCTCAGCGACCAATCAGAGTCAAGGGTGTTTACGGTGACAGCGTATCAAAATTTTACAGTGGCGCCTAGCAACTGAGGTCGCTTCGAGCAGCTAGAATACCTCACGTGTACACGTGGGGCTGTGAGGCACGTGCAAAGAGAACATCTCGTCAACATGTGCTGGTGATGTTAACTAAGCAGTAGCGCCCCCCTAATTTCTGTTTATAGATATATAACTTGCTAGTTATTTCACTCAGGTTTGATGTGTCAAAATGGAATACAACACACAGGCCTAAACAAAGCTGGCAAGACAAATATTCATACACAAAAATGATTTGAAAATTTGTAGTTTGAATACGATCAAAAGACTTAAGTTTAAATCTGAACGTACTTTTTGTTTTTATTTGTATATACCACAAACAACAAATTCAATTATTAAGATTTTTTAAGTTCTATAGCACACTGTTTTTAAGTTCTATAACACAATGTTTTAAGTTCTATAACACACTGTTTTTAAGTTCTATAACACAATGTTTTTAAGTTCTATAGCACACTGTTTTTAAGTTCTATAGCAGACTGTTTTAAGTTCTATAACACAATGTTTTTAAGTTCTATAACACACTGTTTTCGATTATTGTTCCTCTACTTTTAAATAGGAGAATAAGGTTTAATAACGAAGTGAAAATTTTCTACACTAAAAAATAAACACTTTACGAAATAACTGAGATTACCTAATATCAGTTTTATAATATTTTTACATCATTGCATAAATATCACATGAGCCAGGATAGGCCTGGTGGTTAGAATCTACGAGTCTCGAATCGAATCATGTCACCGAACATGCTCGTCATTTCAGTCGAGAGGATAATATATATATATATAAATTGACAAAGAGTAGCCCAAGAGTTAGCGGAGAGTGATATTGACTAGTTGCCTTCCCCCTAATCTATCACTTTAAAATTAGGGCCAGCTACCTTAGATAGACCTCGAAACAACAAAAAATTCCTGGTAATTAATCACTCTGCACTCCTTGTAAGAATTATTCCTACATGTTCAACACACTTTGTAGGGATTATTCCTTTTAATTCAGTACCCTAAACTATTTGCAAGAATTATTGCTTCTTGTTCAGCACTCTACACTTTTTTATAAGAACTATTACTTCTTGTTCAACACTCTACAGTCTTTCTAAGAATTATTCCTTTTTCTTCTACACTCTTTTTAAGAAATATTCCATTTTGTTCAGTCCTCTAAAGTCTTTGTAATAATTATTTCTTCTTGTTCAACACCCTAAAGTCTTTGTAAGAATTACTGCTTCTTGTTCAGCACTCTACACTCTTTGTAAGAATAATTTCTTTCCATTAATTAAACACTCTGCACTCTTTGTAAGAATTATTCTTTTTTGTTCAATACTGTACACTCTTTGTAAGACTTATTCTTTCTTGTTCAATACACTACACTATGTATGAAATATTACTGGTTAATCAGCAGTCTACACTCCTTTAAGAATTATTACTTCCTGTTAATTAAACATTCTGCACTCTTTGTAAGGATTATTCCTTCTTGTTCAACACATTACATTCTTTGTAAGAATTATTTTATTCCTTCTTTTTCAACACTCTTTGTAGGAACTGTTCATTTCTGTTCAACATTTTACACTATTTGCAAGAATAATTCCTTCTTATTCAGCACTCTACACTCTTTATAAGAATTATTCCTTCTTGTTCAAAACACTACATTGTTTCTAAGAAACATTCTT